AGTTCCAGAGAGTTCTAGTTTGGAAGTTGCCAGCCTAACTGTTGCCCGCGGTTGCCGAGCAACGGGAAAACTTTTTGGGACTACTTTATTTGTTGTCATTAAATAAACTTTTGGCATTCCTAAAAGTGATCTGAAGTTTATTTTGTGTGTTAAGTTGGTACAAAGCAGTATAATAAGCGGGATAATGTATAGCCTACAGGTCATTATCGGAAAATAAGTACCGACAGGGCGAAGCGGACCCCGACGCGCAGCGGAGGGGTCCGCTTCCGCCCTGAAGGTACTTATCCCTTACATATTGTAGTTATATATTCTGGATAGCAGCATATTAAATTCTAGTACTACTTTAACATTGTACATTGTAATGTAAAACTCTTCTTATAATCATGTTTCTGTAAATATTTCTCATCTGTATTTAGTTTCACATTTCCTCCCGATTGGTTTTTGAAGAAATAATCACATTATCATGTCAAAAGAACATCCAGTGTCGTGAACTAGTTTAGCATAGACTAGCTTAGCATAGCAACAGACTCACCGGAGATCCAGAACACACAAAACTCGAAAGAATTCTTGTCTCCAGTACCTCTTGCTGTTATTATCAACTTTAAGAACCAAAAACAAGTTGTCAATAACACATTTCAATAATATTTTAAGCACTTTTGTACATCGTTTTTCTTACATATGATGTCCAAGATGGCGGAGCATTCACAGTAAAAACCATAGCGCCCTCTAAAGGACGGATGCGGAAAGGCTGCGTTTAGCGAGTAACAGTATCACAAAATAACACGTAATATTTGGTGGGTTACATAAGTAAGCAAGTAATCTTTATCTATATAGCGCCTTTTACAGACCAGAGTCACAAAGCGCTTTAAAATTGTAGTGGACATTTGTCTCTCACCCCACACAGAGAGATGGGAGCGGGGTCGTTGAGGAGACACATGCCAGACCCATCGTCAAGATTCAAGAATTTATTTTCCATTTGCAGTAAAACCACATTGGAAAAACTGTGCAACTGTGCGCTCCTCCAGTGTGCATCAAGGTCAAGGTCAAGTTTATTTATATAGCACATTTTAAAAACAGACAGGACTGTCACAAAGTGCTTACCAGACATTGTAAAAATACAACACACAAATAACATTCAGCATCAAAATAAAATGCAGGACACTATCATAAATGTTTCAACATTGCTTGTGTTAAAAAGCCAAAGCAAAGAAATGTGTCTTTAGCTGCGATTTAAAACTCTCCACAGAGGAGGCAGCTTTGATAGAATAAGGGAGAGCGTTCCAGAGTTTAGGCCCTGCCACAGCAAAGGCTCTCCTCTGGTTTTTAATCTCGACCTGGGACAGTGCAGAAGAAGCTGGTCAGAGGACCTCAGTGCTCATCAGATATGTATTGTGCATTTTTTTTGTGGTGGGGAAAACCGGAGCACCTGGAGCAAACCTACACAGACACAAAGGGGGTTCATGAAAAGTTCACAAATTCCTGGGTTCGAGTCCAGGACCTTCTTGCTGTGAGGCACAAGCGCTAACCACTGGACCAGTTTTTACATTTATCCCAGTGTGGCCCACAGAGCATGTGATGTCCCCTCTAACAAAACCTAATTAACTAAGTTACATTAAATTAATAAATTGTTACATTCGCTAATTTCTATTTCAAGCTAAATATTAACGCTATACTTTATATCCGTCTCAAAACTCATATCAGATTTTATATATTTTTTATTGCCAACAAGAATTAACTAGGACATTGCTTTGGCTTTTGGTGCAAACAACTTAAGAGGTCAAAATAGAATGAGACGTAAGTAAAAAATCTACAAGTGCAATAAGTACACACAATAGACATGTATATATATATATTCCATCACATAACCAATTCTCAGCCCAAAACATGTAATAATCTCCAGTCGATCGCTCCTAAATATAGTCTGCACGCACAAAGAGGAACTTCAGACTTAATCTTCCAAAATACTGGTTGTTATGTCACGTATCCCACACACTTCGATGTGCCTTCCCTCTCAAACAAGTGGGTGCTGTATGCCAACAATCCCTGAGCCACTGCTAAATCCCGTCTGCTCCATTTGCTCCGGGGAAAAAGTGCGGACAAAGTTGTAATTAACCGCGGTGGTCTTTGACGAAGCCCGACGGTAGAAAGACACCATTGTTTGCGGTCGACAAAAGAGTTTGAATGAGGCTTTTGAGTGGGACAGATAGAGACGAGGAGGTGCAAGTGGGGGGCAGTGAGTGGATCAGATCTGCGGCTGAGGCCTGGGAGGTAACCGGCCCTTTAAACGACCAAGTTAAGTTCACCAAGATAAGAAGTGAGCTAGTAAGTCAAAGTAAATTAGAGTAAACTGCTGACGTGTTGCATTTTTCAAAGTTAAACATGTTCCTTTTATGATATTGAATATTTTAAATTAATTTGTAATTAAATCAAAAGCTAAATTTTGGTGACCGCAACCGGCAAATCTCAAAAGGCAGTTGTCGACAAGTCCTCTCTATGAAAACAGGGTATCCCTTGAAATCTTGGTCATAATAGGTTGGTTTTTTTTGGGGGGGGGGGGGTTCTGATCCAACCAATACCAATATTAATTCCAAATAAAGATCAATATTCATCATCTTTTATGTTTTCATTAAGACACCTTTAATATGGTATGGTTTGTTATGGTTGTTTGGTGTCAAGCTGGAGTTCAAAACAAGCCTTGTTATTATTTTGTGTATATATTAGATATCAAAATCCCAAATTATTTTCCTTGTACACATTACATCAGGTCTGTAAAAAGGGTCTCCTCAAGCACAGGGATAATATGTGTAAACAGTCTCAAGTTTGGATTATACTAAACTCTCAGTGGAGACATGTCAAACTAATGCTGTCTGTGTGAGCTGCTTTAGAGCCTCCTCTCTGTGTCTGAGCTGCGGTGTTGTTATCGTGGCACTGTTGACTACTCTTTGGCAGTGGATCTGGAAGTGTGCGGCGTCCAAAGAGTTTCTGAGTGCAGGGGACACGGGTCGGTCTTTTCACCAAATCCCATTGTTCCCACAAAGTTCAGAATGGTCGATGCCGTTATCAATCTCCAATCAAGACATCCCTGGGGTCAAAAAATCTAAAAAAATCCCATATGCATGAAAGAAAATCACTTCTCACAAATAGTTGTGTTTTGGATATCACACTTTCCATTTTTACAATGATATTTCTTGCTGCTCGACTGTTAACATTATTTTTAAGTTTGAAGAATGGCTGTAGCTGTGGCCGTCGCCAACAAAAAAACAATTTTTTTTGTGAATTTGATGTTATCAAGAAAAGCATTGAGCTCCACCAGTGCTTTGAAAGTAAGGCTCCAGTCCTTTCTGATTCTCAGACACACAGATGCCAATCAGAGATAAGGGACACGCCCACTGAGCACGTGCACAGGTGAATGCTCTTCCTCTTCAAATAACAACATTGTTTGTTTTTTAAACCTGGGAAAGGAACGTTTTTAAAAATATTTTCCTTGTGAATGAATTGGCGGAAAGAGTCGAATTCAAGCCATTTAATTTAAAATTCTGTAAAGGAATTCTTCTTAAAATACAAACATATTTAACAATAATTGATATTAAATTAATCTCCTCACAGGAATGACTCATTCTCTTCTAAAGCTGGTGTCTCTATTATGTTTCTTATCTTATCGTGCGACTGTCAGCCAGACTAAACAACGGCAAAGAAGACTTGTGTCGAACAGATCCAATCTGACTAAACTTACTTTCAAGTTCAAAATAAGTTGCACCTTGTGATGTCATTAGGTGGTTATCATGGATCAGGAGTAAATGTGTATTTTATTATAATGAATGTACTTTATACATATAGAAGTTCTGCTAAACCTTTGTGCTCATGAAGTCACAAATTATAAGTTTAAATTAGTTTTGGGCTTAAATGTTTATTTTGCAAAGCCATCAGTGTGGCATCTTTAATCTTTATTCTTCCACAATCTGACACAAACTCGGAGACCACTGATCCAGCCCCAAAGTTTAATATCTTATTGCAGCTTTATATCCCATTTCTCTGAGTGAGAATTCAGAACTTCAGAGTTTCAGAGATTGCATGAATGTGGCATCAGTTTGAGTAACATTTAATTGTTCATTTCCAAAGAGAGAAATTTTTCTTGGAACAGAGACGTCAGCAGCATCACATATGCAAACAAAAAAATTTAGGATTAAAATAATTGGCATAGTGGTTTGTTACTGTATAAATTATCGCTGCGGGCTGTAATGAAATGTGTTTAGGATGTGACACTTAGACCCCGGCAGAACACTACATTTAGATTATGAGATTAAATCCCCCCAGGCCTAGACCCTGGTGGTGGAAGCTGAGAGGGGTTGAAGAGCTGATCTGGCGGTGAGGGGAGGAGGAAGGTTGCTGCACGAACGAAAACGTAATTTGAAAGGGATCAGTGACATAAGGAAGGGTGTATTTGTGAACATAAAGAAGTTCATACACAGAATTTTATTTTTAGTTACACAATTGTTTTCTGATGAATCAGGTTGGTGTCTTTGCAATGGTATTTTACTAGAAAACAAATAAATGCACATGGCCTTTGATGTGACCATATTTCCGCTGACATTGTGTAAAGGGGAGGAGCTCAGAGTATTACGGCAGGACTGAAAAAGGAAGTGAACTAACATTTCTTTTATTGTATCAATTTAGATCAAGATTTAGTTTTCATTCTTATTTAACATAGTAATGTAAAAAAAAAAAACAGTATAGAAAGTGTTGTCTCACTTCTCCTTCAAGCTAACTCCTACACTTATTATTGCGCCTTTTGTTTCAGTTCAGTTTGCCCTTCACAATGGGACAAAGGCAAACCACAAAACATAAATCTTTCAACCCCTAAGAATCCATTCACAAACATCTGCTGGACTATGGCAACGATTTACGAGCAAAACTGAGACGCTAATTTGTAAATAACAGTAAAAAAAAGAGGGCGGGACATGAATGTGGGCAACAATTCAGAGTGCAGCGCTGGTTGGTACCACAGGTTGTTCCTTTGAGGGGGCAGTTGCCATGGCGAGGGTTGCTGTGGTGAAGGGGGGCACCAAGAGGGCCCTTCACAACAACACACCACAGAGATGAGGCTGGAACAAAGCAGGAGACCGAGATAACTGCTGAACACACTGACGTTCAAATACAATACTTTACATTTTCACTTTTCAACTCACTCACTAAATAGTCTAAGATTCTAGAGCTAGCAAAGAGTTTTGTGAACAAATGGATGCAGTCTCCACTTCATGGAATCATCACAATACATGATTTGCCTCTACACAAATGTGACCAAATTGTGACCAGCTCAGGTCCTGGATCTAGAGCCCGTCTGTCCGTGTGGAGCGGATCCCTCTCTCAATGTGGATCTCCCCGAGGTTTCTCACTTTTCTGCCACTGTGTTTTTAGAGATTTTGTCTGTGTTTGACTGTGGTGATGATCCAGGACACTTAAACATTCTTCAACATTCATGGACATTGGACTCTCCACATGGACCAATACCATGTGTTCTATAATTTTTTGTTTGAACTGTTGGATTCTCTGATCTGTGTTGGTGATTACAACGGTTTTGTTAAGTCCTGTTAAGTACTGATGTGATTTAGGGATATACAAGAATAAATGGAATTGAATTGAATTATCTTTATTGCAGTAACTTGTTGCATTGATGAAAACAGCCAAATAATTGTATCCGTTCTAAAATATTCAAAGTCATGTAAAATACAGTTGATTCAAAACGTAAAAAAAACTTTTATTCCACTTTTATACTTCTGGCCCCAACAAGCTCTTATGTTTTTAAATTTGGCCCTTGACCAAAATAAGTTTGACACCCCTGTTCTATAACATTTTCTCCTCCCACTTTTTAAATTTTCTCGCCAAAATTTGGAATCCACAAAAACTCATTCATGTTTTCATAACTTTAAACATAATCTGTAATATGTCCCTAACGCTACACAAATATTGGTTTATGCCTGGAGAACAGGCAGCCTTGTAAAATATATCTGGAGACAATCCAATCCCAAGAGTAGAACACAGCAGCATTTACCATCCCATAATAACACCATGTCATCTTCACACGTGCACTGGCCATCTGCACCGCCTCACTCCACGCTCACACAGAGCTGCTTTCTGACCGCTGCTGGACAGATGCACAGAGCCCACAGAGGAATGAAAAGTCTTAGAAGTCGGTGAAATGGGATCCAAGATGGCGGCCAGTTTAACGACACCGTCAGTTTAAGAGTTTGAGCCTAAAGCTGGAGGCAACGGGATATCCAGTTGTTTACATCCAAGTTTTCTCGTTCCCACGATTGGCAAAGAAGGAATTTGATAATTAGCGAAAGATAATTATCTATGGTGAATAGCAAAAACCATTTTTTGGTAATGTATTAGTTGGATGATTATTCTCGCTGAATGGATTAGTTCTGGCATGCACAAACTCAGGCCTGAGGGCCAAACGCGGCCCGTCACGTCCTGTTATGTGGCCCTCTGCCTGGCTAACCCAAATTACCTTTGAGATTACAAATGATAATATTAATAATAATAATATATAGTGTTTAGATAGTGCTTTTTGGGCACTCAAAGATCTTCAAAGTGATAAACTACTACTGTAGCCAGTGTAGCTGTGGTTATGTCGTACCTCCTTTTGCATCTCCAAATGGACCAATTCCATTCAAAAAAATAGTTCAACAATCCACGTTGTCAGCCCCTGAACAAGTACTGGAGAAGTAAAGTGGCCCTCTTACTAAAAAGATTAGTTGTTTCGATCCCTAAACTCAATGAATATAGGATTTTTATTCTACATTTGACCAAAACAAAGCTCCAGTGATGCCCCTGGAGAACATCTTCACAGAGAGACTTATGTTACACATTGGTTTAGTTGATTCAAAATACTTTGTAAAGCCATTTTCCTTGGCAGTTATTTGAGAGGACTTAACAAAACCATTGAATTTGCCAACACAGATCAGAGAATCAAACAGTTCAAACATAAGACATTCAAAGACACAAAACAAATAGAGCCATTGGTCCATAAATAGTCCTGATCATCACCACTGTCCTTAAAGTGGTTCTCACCCCCGCTCCTCGGAGCTTACTGTATGTTACTCACATTTCCTGTTCAAATCTTCCTCTAAATGGGCGTAGCCTGGAGGACTAAAGGGGGCGTGAACGAGACTGGGCCGTTTACATTGCTCTGGGCGGGGGGCTGCTGACGTCAGGTCCAACTTGCAGACGTCAGGTCCAACTTCTGTGCCAGTGTTGGCGCCAGATTCAAAATTCAAATGTAGTAATACAGGTCGCCAGCAGATGGCGCCTCACAGACGGTTTTAGGCAGAAAGTCTAACTTTCAACTAATTAGCACCAAAGTGACAAGATTATGACCAGGATATGTAGACAACACTATTGGACACTCATTTATACTGTTTATCAGCAAAAAAAAGTGGATTTGAGTTGTCCTTTAAGCTTATAAACTCTAGGTCCAGGGATAAAACAATAGTTATTGTATCGGTATTCGCTATCGGCAAGTACTCAAAATAAGATACTAATACTCGAACCATTTTTGAAAAAAGTGGTATCGGTGCATCCCTAAAATAAAGACTTACTCACTAAAAACCTTTCAACCTTAACCCTCACACTGCTGATCTAACACTACCCATTACAGTTGATTTGACCAATTCCTACCGGTTCAAAGTATGTGAACACAAAACCAGCTGCGGCCCCCAGTCGGCTTCGTGCGGCCCCCTTCCCTCCCATAACACTGGATGCAGAATCTGTCACCAGTCCAGTTGCAGAGTGCATTCTTCAGCTGGTGTCGGGTCTTCAGACTGATGTGTGTCATAACCTCAGGCCAGCAGCAGCGTAAACTTCCTGTGCATCAGAAGGGCTTCTGGAGGAATGTGGGCCGCGGGGAACGCATCCAGAGACGGACCATAAAGAACCATGTGTGAGTCCAACTGTGGGGGACCAGCGGAGTGGGAAGTAGGCTGAGATGAAAACGCAAAATGAGGAATATATATATACAGAAAGATAGCAGAAACGTCAACCGCTGTTGACAAGGTTTTGTGATTGTTGTGATTCATCTTATTCCTTCAGAAATGTGTTCCAATCCAATCCAGTCCACTTTATTTATTCAGCACATTTTAAAAAACAAGTTTCCAAAGTACTGCACAGAGATAACGATTAACACAGGTTTTCCAGCTTTTTATATCAGTGAAAGATTATGCACAAATAAAAAACATTAAAAATCTAATAAAAACAATAAAATACCAGTTATCCAATTTAAAGTAAAAATCATGTGTAAAAGTCAAATCGATTATGTTTTGTGTTGAAATTTCACCAACGCAGGATATCCAACAGCAGGATTCCAGTAAAGCAAATATTGTATTTGTTTCATTTCACTAAAAGAAAATAAACAGCATCATTTAAAGGGATCATAAGTCATATTTTAGTATCAAATATAATATAATTCTGAACATGTACAAAGGTTTTCTGGACAAAAGTTAAACATATAATGAACGTTATCATGTTTATGCTGGACCATGACTGTCGCCCCCTGCAGGACACTCTCTCTGCTCTGGAGAGCAGCTTCAGTGACAGAATTATTCACCCTCGCTGTGTGAAGGAGAAGTTCTGAGGTCTTTCCTTCCTGCTGCTGTCAGACTGTACAATAAGAACTGCTGAGCCTGTAAATTTCCTTCATCTGGTAATCTGTAAATAAGTAAATTCTTAAATTATGTGCAATACTGTGCAATACTGCAACTTCAGAATATCAACTGAACAATGTCACTTTACTTTTATCTACTTATCCTGCACTATATGTACAGTATATAATTCCGCACTACTACATATATATATATTTTTTTGGACTGGTATTGAAGTATTTTCAGCATCTACAGCTAGTTATGTTAGCTAAGAAACATAGCTACTTCTTATCTTGTATATTGTGTGTGCTCCCTGTGTGCTCTTACTACTGTCCTGTCTGTGCACTGCAACATTGAAATTTCCCCACTGTGGGACAAATAAAGGAACTCTTATCTTATCTTAATTTCCAAGCAGATTATCCGATCAGAAAGCAGAACAAGTCTCTCATTTGGGTTGCCAGTTTGTTAGGTTTCCATGCAGCTGCTTAACCCCAGCAGATGGATTACATCAGCAATTAGTATGAGGGTGTGTTATTATCAGTTATCGGATCAATAAGTCAGTATAGTAATCGTTTTGACAGAACCACTAGCAACCATTAACAACATTTCAAGTCCGTCGTCACAATTATCAACTTGGAAAAGGCTGCAATTAGACTTTTAAAACTGAAGAAAGTAACGTTTGTTCCGTGGTTGGTTGTTCTGATTACAGCGAGGTCAGTGGGACATCGGCTCTGTCTGCCAGCTCTGCTCAGACACCTGCAGAGCCAAGAGTTTAAGCCTGGAGAGCCTCGGCGGGGGGTCAGGAAGTCTCTGACCGTCCACCTACACTCAAAGTCTAACCACAAGTTTGACCCACACTGAGAAGTTATTTAATGGGAAATGTGTTTGAGACGAGATACTACTTTATTTTCCCGCACAGGATTAATGTGACTTGGGACAGGAGTGCACATACTTTACACAGACACCACAATAGACATTAAATAGACCAAAATAGACTAAGATAGGCCAACATAGACCAAAATAGACACAGGTAGGGGCACCATCAGAGACGTCCAGGACCAGAGACCAAAACAGTTATAATTACTTCATACTTGCCCAACAGTAAAAATATAAAGTGCGGTATTTTATTGCACTCAGCCTAAAGTGCAGTTATTATTATTGCACTTCGGTAAAAGCGCTGGGTTGTTTTTGTCATGAATTAAAACAGAAAGCAAAATCTGTATGTGTGGTTATGTTCAGACTGAGCTGGGCGTTACAACAGTACCCAGAAATTAGTTATTTTCAATTTCATGTTTTTTTCGCAATTTTTATGTTGGTGACGACGCTAAGGGGAGTTTCTGTGTTTTGCCTTGGTATAAAACCATGTGAACGCTGAAAAGCTCATGACACTTTTACGGTGTTCCCAACAATAAAAACCTGCTACTGAGACACCATCCCAGACCTCCGCAACTTTTGTCATTTTCTGCAGTTGGCGGAAGACGTCAGAACTAAATCTAAAATTAGAGTCACAACTTTTGTAAGCAAACAAGGACTGAAGCAGGATTTGAAGACGTCCAAATCGACTCTAAATAATGGGTCAAATAATTTACTCACCTCTGTTTATCTATCTGGTTTTGAGTGCTCTTTCTAATCATACAGTTCTGTCGATAAACTGTACCTACTGTGGCAGAAAAAAGTAAAAAGTTAAAAATCTTAAACTGGGCCAAATGTTACAAGAATGGTGCCATCTTTACATCTTTACTGATCCACATGGTCTGAACCAAATGGATCAGGTGAAAATCCACTGGAGCAATGCTAACTTTTTGAAAAATGCGAATTAACCATTTAGCATTATACTTTGGACAAGAGCAGAGAAAATGGTCCGGACTAAGCCGCTACTCCACCTTTTGACCTGTCCTGCTCCACCCTGAGTCTACTCCACCTCTGCTGCTGTGACTCGTCCTGCTCCACCCAGAGGCTACTCCACCTCTGCTGCTGTGACTCGTCCTGCTCCACCCAGAGGCTACTCCACCTCTGCTGCTGTGACTCGTCCTGCTCCACCCAGAGGCTTCTCCACCTCTACTGCAGTGACCCATCCTGCTCCACCCAGAGGCTTCTCCACCTCTACTGCAGTGACCCATCCTGCTCCACCCAGAGGCTTCTCCACCTCTACTGCAGTGACCCGTCCTGCTCCACCCAGAGGCTTCTCCACCTCTACTGCAGTGACCCGTCCTGCTCCACCCAGAGGCTACTCCACCTCTACTGCAGTGACCCGTCCTGCTCCACCCAGAGGCTACTCCACCTCTACTGCAGTGACCCGTCCTGCTCCACCCAGAGGCTACTCCACCTCTACTGCAGTGACCCGTCCTGCTCCACCCAGAGTCTACTCCACCTGTACTGCAGTGACCCGTCCTGCTCCACCCAGAGGCTTCTCCATCTCTGCCTCTGTGACCTGAAGGGCTGTTGCTAATTATCACTATTGTTATCTTTTTAGAATGATCAATTTTATTTTTGCTGCTACTGGACACCTGAATTTCTCCTACGGGGATCAATAAAGTATCTATCTATCTATCCATCCATCCATCTTTAAAAATATGGTGTGTTTTTAATGAGTTACTTGTACTTTGGTCAATCCTGGAGGACAAGAAGAGAAAGTTGCTTGCTTGTTTAGATATAACATGTGTATATGTCCAATCGCTCAATAAAACTAAACTAGAATATACAGTACTTAATTACGCTTAAGTTTCACTATAGAGTGATTGGTCCTTTATCTTGTGCTATGTGCTCCTCATACTGTTCTGTAACTGCTGATGCAACACTGAAATTTCCCCACGGTCAAATAAAGGATCTGTCAATACATTGTGAACTATTACAGATTTTGTGACGTTACAGCCACACAATAAAAGTATTTCATTTTTAACGTTTTAACTGAAAGAGCACTAAAAAGTAACAGACAACGGTGAATTGAAAGACAAAAATTAGATGTTTGGTTTTTGTATTCATCAGATTTGTCTTTTCTTAATTCAAACGGACACAAAATCCAGTAAGTAACAGGTCAAAACTTTAGTGAATGAAGCTGAAATCCAAAGTAATGCTTGAAACTAGCACTGCAATAACAGTTAATAAATCTCTATCTATTGATTTAACTTAAAATCCGATGCTCAAGATCAATCATAGAGCCCGGGGTTATACATGTGTGCCAAAATGTCTGCGCATATCACAGAATAACAAAAACGACTGTGACTTTTTGACTGTAAGTCAGAGATTGACCGAGGTAAACGAGAAGAGAAAACAAAATAACGCTCTTAAAAGTCCAGAATACAAGCCCTTTAAGCAGACTTTTGACTGTAGCTGCAGTCGTGGTATTAAGGTCAGTGGTAATCAGCAGATCTGGCCGGACGCATCAAGCAGGAGGTGACCGCTAATTGAGAATGGCAATTTTGGCACAACACAATATGGCGGCTTTGATTTCACAAGAAGGTATATAACCACAGACGACAAATTGGACCCTCCACCAGATCCACAGGAGCGGGTATATTATTTGGCTTTACACTTGTGGCTTTGATTGAGATGGATAGAGGTCAACTTTTCTCGTATGGCCAGGGGAAAACCGGCTGTGCCCAAGGTTCCTCAAAATAGAATAATACGAATTAGTGAAATGAAATACATATACATAGGGATGCACCAATACCGATACTTGGGTATTGGTGCATCCCTACATATACACATATAAAACCTGAATGCATTAAATGGATGTTATTAGCTCAAAGGCAACAAATCCAGGCAATTATACAAAAATGACTGTGGGTAAAATACTGCAGTGTCTCAAACAGTACCCAGCCCAACACCATTTTGTCCATCCACCAAACCTCAAACACCTTAGTATAATCCTCTTCATTTGCACCTTTATGCAAAATAAACTATTGTTATATGTAGAAAAGTGTATCCAATGCAATTAGCCAATGTGTAATAAATGCCTTGATTACGTGTCATTTATAGGGAGTCACACAGACAATGCAAATTCAGATAAATCAATATAAAAGCTGCAGTTTACGATCTTGCGCGCGAATCAATGCCGTAATGGTTTTTATTATTGCTGCTATAGAAATGCAAGTCACGCCGCTTGCCTCTGGGAGCATGAGGGTGGCAGACAGACGCGGCAAGACGGGCACTCCCATC